CAAACATGCTGATAATTTAAATAGGGATTAGACTATTTTTTAACATAATGACTTGGCTAGGTAACATGCAATGCTAACCACATGTAGGAGTCTGCTTTTCAGAATTTCCAGAAGCTTTGTATTGTCAGTGAGCATCATATTATGATGCTCACAGATATACCATGAAACAAACTTCATTCCATGATGTCCAAGTAGAAGCCTTCACAAAAATATGAAAAATAAATTGTGAACAATTCATTTTCTTTTTCTTTCTCTTCCTTCTTACCATATCTCATGTCTTTCATTCTCTCTCTACCATCTCCTCACTCTTTCTTTTTTAGGAGAGGCTGTTGGGTGAGAGATGATCCCCTTAATTCATTTTATTGCCTAATTTCTGTAGCATGGATATTTAGGAGGTATTTAATGATGGTTTCCAGGCAGTGACAGAAATGGAAATTATTTACTCGAGGAACCCTGCATGTATTCTTGTTAATTCATTTGCATACTGTTAAATAAATAACATATTGCTGGGACCAGAAGATTTGGAAACTCTCCACCACCTGCACTCTGTTTTTGTACTACAGTTCTAGGGTGATTGTCTTTGTTTACCTAGGTTACAAGGTTTCCTTTATGTTATACAAATATAAATTAACTGGGCAGAATAATATACGAATTAAGTTATTGTCTTTGTGTCTTTTCAAAAATATTGGGAAGAATAAATAGACCTTCATGGGTAATAGTTTTCGGTGGCTGAATAATTTAATAAAAAATTAAAAACATTAAATAAACATGGCTATGATTATATTCTACATGGGATAAAACCCAATACATGCTTAGAATAAGCTAAATTGATATAAAGTTAGCGTTTGATTGATGTACAGTTGCTTAAACATTGGGAAGCTATTAGAGCAATTGATTTTGGACTGGAATTTGTAAAACTTTCAATAGACTCTGATAAACTGGCTGTCCTACTGTAAATATGACCATATGGGACAAACTAAAAAATGTGATGACATGTTGATTGTCAGATTTCACCTAAGAACCCATATAAACATTATGGAGTATGAGGAAATTGTCACGCCCACAGTCAGATTGAATGTATCTAAATTTGGTTTCGAAAGTGGGTTGTTTGGAATGGGGTGGGAGTGTTGTTTACTAGGCTTGAATTTTTTTAGAAACTTGAAGACAGTAGAACTGCGTGTTCTATGAGATCTAATCCTTCCATTGATTCTAAAAAATGAGCATGTTTTCCTTTTTATTGAAGATGTTGGGGTGACACTAGTTGACAAAATTATACACATTTCAGGTACACAATCAATGAGTTTTTAAAGCTGGGCAATCATGTGCATTCCAGCTGCAGACTAAACGATGGCTTCATTTCCAGTCTCCTGACTGCTGCAGAGCCATCCTGGGCGAGCGCCTGAGTAGGAGTCGGTGAGGTTCCAGCTAACGCTAGATAGAGTCTTCAGCTGGTCTAAATTGTTTCTTCTTTACCACTTCTGCACCTGTGTCCAGAGACAATTAAAACTAAAGTTTGAATCCATTGTGTCCACCTTTAAGTTTTTTTTTTTACATATAGGTGTCCATTTTTAGGGAAGTTGTTGGAATGGAAAAATAGCAGTGATAGCTGAGAAAATCTAAATTCTAAAAGTGGGAAAGATTTTATTTCTATCACACTCAGAGGTTTTTCCCCAATTTTTGCTTTGGGTCGAGGGAAAAAGGTTTGTATATGTTTTTCCCTCATGTGCTACTTTGAGCAGTGTTCATATGTTATGTGAGATGATTATGCTAAATATCTGTGAGAACTTGAGTCTTGGCATGGATATATAGTGAGTCTATAGGACCCAAAAGAGAACAACAGTAGGAGGAGAGGAAAAGGCAAGGGATTTTTTAAAATGAAGAGCTCGTATGAGATGGGCAAGTAGGGGATTAAATAAAAAATTGGATGGTTTGAACAAATTGTGTATATATTTCCTTCTCTGAGATCTCTAAGATCTCTTATTATACACTGCATGGGGGAAAATAATCTTTGCTTTCTTATTAACTTCTTAACTATGCACCTTCATCATTGTTGTACATTCTTTTAAGCCTGGCTCAGAAAATAAAGGGTAACATAATACAGGAGCAACATGGTGACTGAAAACTGGCTTTGGATCTGGCCCTGGCAGGAAAAAACACATTATTAATCATTATTAATACATGCTATCAGTGCTAAACTGCACGAATTATCAGTTAAAAAGTAGGTATAACGCCTAGGACATCATTTTTCCTCTTTTTAGAAATAATGCTACAAACCAAAACAGCACCTTTTAGAACTGCAGCCTGGCCAGACATGTGCCTGTGGTCCAGATGCAGACGAGTGTGGTCCAGAGGCTTCCTCTGCCTGGTCGGTCGTCACCGGTGTGCTGGCTGTTCTTGCTTTGATTCATAATCACTGATATAGTCACTGCTATTTTATGACTTTGAGAGCCTTGATTGTGAATTATATTTACAGATTCTAATTTCTTTCTAAATAGGGCCCTTTGTATTCAAGGACCTGAAGAGTCTTGAGTCTGTGTTGAAATTGAGTTTTCTCCATTTAATAATGCATCAGATATGATTGTATTTGTTAAAATTTTGGTCAGTAGGGCCAGGAAGAATCTGTGTGCAGGAGTAGTGAATTTGGCCAGATTTTGTTTGTGAGAATAATTTTCTTAGGCACCTTCCCCCTGTCTTGCCCCAACTGGGTACCTAATGGCTAACACATATAATTCCAAAGTGGGAACATACCTGGTTTTAAAGTCTGGAGCTATTAATCCATAGAAGTGGGCTTTTTTTCCTCCTGGTGGCACTGTGTTATATTTGATGGGGCATCCAAAAGGGTAAGGCCTGGTTTCAATCCCAAAGGAATCTGTAGTCTTTGGGAAGTCAAGTTCTACATGGCTTTATAAAATAACTAATTTAATAAGGTATTTTGTGATAAAGTGCCAAGTGTATGCTATTTAAAATGTAGCTTTGCTATAAAGACATATGTCTTGACTGCAGAGTTCACAATGAACTTAATCTAAAGTGAAATGAAGTGTTATTACCAGAAAGTTTGAGAGCCATTCTGTCTGTGAACTGGTATATGGATCATTCTGTTTATGAACCAGGCGGCTCTGAAAGATCATTGAAAGCAAATGAATGGGAACTACACTAAAGTTAGAGTTATCAAAGGTACTCTGAGAAAGGTGGATATTTCAGGCTTTCCCTCAAGGACCAATATATGTTTAGGTATTTCCACACTCATGACATCATTGGTATTGCGGTCTCATTGTGTGATTCATAAACAAATCAGAAGTTCGAGAAAAGCTGAGAATTTAAACGTTTGTTACATTCATTGATTTTCATCTACCCTGTAAGAGAATTCTGCCCAACAGAAAATCAGTTCAGAGAGGCGTTGCCTATTGCTCTGCCCCCAGGAAATAAAGTACATAATTCCCATGCAAAAAAAAATGCATCAAAGAGAGAAACACCAGCTTGCTGACAACCTCATAATGGAGTATGGCCAAGGCGATCGTTGATCTCTTAAAGCTTTTTGAAGAGTTAGCTTAGCAGTTAAGCTCTGAATACGTCCACCCTTCTGTTATTTAGCCAGCAATCTGCTCCCTTCCAATGAATGGAATAAAAGCTGAGAGGGAGTGTTTCATCTGTGTTCAAATTAGAAACCTGTCTCCTATGAGGGGTTACTTCCTTCTTTAAAATCTGCTCCAAAAGAGGAAAGGAGAATCTTGGATGTATAGTACAACAATCATGCCATCAGCTATAAACCTCATTTGGTAAATATTTTTTCTTGAATTGTGAATTGAGCCTAAATGTACTGCTACCTATAATTAACACTGCCCAGTGGAATTTTAAAAGTACTTACAAAAATGACAACAGAGTGACAATTACCATTATCCCCAACTAAACTCCTCCTCCTCCATGTTTTCATCAAGAGAGTGACGTTGTTACTTCAACAGGCACAATGTTGTGGTGATTTTTGTGATACAAATAAAGCAAGACTAAAATTCTAATTGTGAAATGTAAAAGGGAAGTAATTGCTTAGTGTTGGTTAATTCCGTCTTTGTGTGATGACAGCAGCTGTGATTCCCTGCCTTGTGTATTTTAACAGATGGCATTATTTCTTATGGAGTGTTACAGCAGCGACCACGGTGACACTGAAGGAAGATTCTGTGATCGCATGTTAAGTGAGATATTACTGACAGCCCTGCTTCGTGGCGCTGCAGAAATGCATGTTGTGGGTCTCTCCTCACCTCCACAGCCCACACCAAATGGTTTCTATTTGCTGCATGTGGAACTGGAACAGAAAGATTGATGAAAAATTATGTTCTTTTAAAAATGTCCTTGTTTGCACATCATTAATAGGCCTGAGATGAAGGCTCAAATCCAGCCAAAAGGTACATTTATCAATTCAGTATCATACTGTTGTACCTTCCAATCAGAGGCCAGAGCTCATGGGCCTGAGCTTTGGACCACGATTTGCCCAAGTCACTTTTCTCTGGGTTCGCTTCCTTTGTGTAAAAGGCTGGAGTTGGACTAAAATAAAACAATCTCTAAGGCCCTTTTTACCCTGTGATTCTGAAAGTTCTGAGCTTTATGCTTTAATGGCACAGAAGACTGAGTAAACGGCATGAAGGAATCCCTGATAGATTGCTCTGTTTGCTACTGATGTTGATGCAAGCATAGAGAAAACACCAGTGGGTCACAAGTCAGGAGAACTGGCTGTGGTTCAGCATTGAAACGAATCATCGAGCCAGTCCAGGTCAGCCTATTCACCTTTTTGCAAGGCTTTAGTCAAGGTCTAATGGGATCATGCTCCTGAAAGATTAATCAACAAACATTGCACAACTGCCATGTGCTAGACTGTGCCAAGTGCTGGGGACTCAGTGGTGGGTAAACATGGTCTTTGTTTCTGAGGAAAATTCTACTTGAGGAGACAGGGATGTAAACAGCTAATTATTATAGAGTATGGCAGGGGTTTGATGGGCACCAGTACAAGGTGATGGGGGAAAATTAGAAGAGGGGAAGGGTAGCTCACCCAGCAGGCGGTCACAGAAGGCTTCCAGGAAGAAGTGGATTCTAAGGTAAGGCAAATAATAGGGGTTGGGGCCACTGGGGGAACCAATGACATGACGTGTGTATTAAACCAAGATTCAGAAATCATCATGGTTTGGTTTTGCATTATCACTGATCTTAAAAGTAGGAGCCCAACAGCATCTTGCATTTTAATGAAAAAAAAAAAAGAATGTTCTTATCTAAATAAAGAACATTGTTATGATTTATATTCTAAATTTTTAAAACAAATGACAGTGACCAGAGGGGAGGCAGGGGATAATGGGGGAAAGGGTAAAGGGTTTACAGGAATAATTATGAAGGCCGTATGAATAATACCAAGGCGGGGTGGAAACAGGAGAGAGAGGTGGGGGGAAAAGGCAGAAAACTGTGCTTGAACAACAATATAAATAAGTAAAATAAAATAAAATAAAACAAATGGGTTTAAGAGCCTGAAAAATTGTGGTGCATAGGTGAAATAGGCCAGGTGTTGAAAGACAAATACCATATGATCTCACCTTTAACAGGAAGCTAAACAATAAAACAAACAAGCAAGCAGAAAAAAAAAACAGACACTGAAATAGAGAACAAAGGGACAGTGACCAGAGGGGAGAGGGAAGAAAATTTAAGGGGAAGAAGGGGAAGTATTTACAGAAACTAGTTAGTATAAAGGACACATGGACAACAACTAAGGGGGTGGAAATGGGAGGGATGTGGGGAGCACAGGGTTGGGGAGGCTGGGATGGGAGAAATAGACAAAAAACTGTACTTAAAAATAACTAAATAAAATTTTTTTAAAAAGCCTGAAAAATAATTTTCTAAGAGAATGGCATCTTTGACTGTCACATTCAGCATGAGCTTGTCCTTTCCAGACCTTCCTCTTACAAATGTCTATGTGAGGCCCCAAGGGTTTCACGGTGTGCTTTGATGGGAGGGATGGATGGCTCTACTTTGATTGGTAAATGCAGTAATCCTAGTGGCTTTCTATATCATATGAACTTTTGGCTTTCTTTTCACAATCTCCTCTCTTTGAGGGAGGGGCTATCAGTTTGCTGTTCAGCGACCAATAAATCTGACTTATCCCCACTCCCTACAGACTGACCCTCCTCCGTACCAAAATTTGACTTCTTACAGTTTAATTAAGATCACCCTCTAAGCAGCACACCACCAACAGAATGATGGAATTTCTTCTAGCAATGTGATATTAAATAAAGAGAAATTCAAGTCTGCCATTGTTTGTGCCACTCTCCACAGATCTACATGAAGACCTAAAAGTGTTAAAAAGATCTTCAATGAGAATGTCTTTAAGAGAGCCCCTGACTCTGGGAATAGAAACAAAGCCACATCTCTGAACTTAGTGAGAGAAAGAATGTCCTGCTGCATCATTTCTTCCTTAAGCCTTTGTCCTTTCATGAGATTGCAAATAGTAAATGAGATGGTAACTTTGTGAGCTACTCACTTATGCACCAGAGTTATTTGAATTTGCAATTTGGACACAAATGCCCTCCTGGTCAGATTAAAGGGCCTACAGTCACCCTTATGCACAAGTGTGGTCTTTGCCTCGTTTTTGATGTTTCATACCTCCAAATATTTCTAGGGCTCAAACCTAGACCTCCATACCTCCATAATTTGTCCCAATCTTAGGTGTCTTCAAGGATCTGAGAATCAATGTGGCCACAACTGAATGGGTGATATCTGCCCCTTTCTTTAAATCTTTTTTTCAAAGATTTTATTGATTAATTTTTAGAGAAAGGGGAAGGGAGGGAGAAAGAGACAGGTAAAAACATCAATGTGAGAGAGAAACATTGATTGGTTGCCTCTCCTACACTGCTGACTGGGGACCTGGCTGGCAACTCAGGCATGTGCTCTGATGAGCAATCAAACTGGCAACACTTTGTGGGGATGACACTCAACCAACTGAGCCATGCTACCATGCTAGTCAGGTCTCCTTCCCTTAAGTCTTTCTGCTGGGGTCTTGTATCCGTGTTTCAAAGTTATAGCAATTTTATTTACCATAATTTTTTGGAATAACACTTTTTATTTAGATGAAAGCCTTGAATATCCTTCTTTCCACCTTCCCAGCTCCTCCCAGGAACCTGGATATCAGTGGGCATCAACCCTTCAGAGTGAAGGAAATTGATCTGTTCCCAGTACAGAAAGCTATTGTGTTATTTATCTCCTGGAAAGGAAGGAGAGAGAGAAGAAAGAGGAGGAGAAGTAAAAAAAAAGGGAGGAAAAGAAGAAGATAGAGAAAAATTGAGATGAACTGAAGGGACAGTGAAATTTCATACTGTTTGGTAAGGAGGCCAATAGATATTTTAAGAAAAGAGGTGTTTGAAGTTCTCAGTAAAAGCTGTTTGTTTTAAAATGCAATTCCTCCATCTTCATTGTGAAATCTTACACAGGATGTAAGTAGATTTGTGTGTGTGTGCATAAACTGGTAGAGGGGTTGAGTTTCCTGGTAGACATGGACAGAAGAGACAACAGAAGAGAAGGGATGCACAGGATGTTGAAGGATGGAAGATTCCTAAGAATTATAGTAGTCTTTTGAGGACTTGTAGAGACTATGGAGTTGTACAGATTATGGATTGAAAGTTCAAGTCCATTGCACTCAAATCTCTGAGATAATTGGGCCCCTATGTACCATCTTAGCTATCATCTATGTCTACTGCATGAGGAAGAACACATAGCATTTGACCTTGACACCCGGTGTTCCTGTTATCCTCCCACATCCTCCATATTTAGTCTTCTTACCCACTGAGCCTGCCTTCTCTTAGTTACCTTTTATCTTTGGAGTTTGTAACTCAGAAATTGATATTCTCTAAGTTAAGTAGATTATATTCATAATGTCTGTAAACAAGAATGAGCAGGTTCTTAAAAGATTTTTAGGGGGTCAAAATCCACTGTGGGATAATCCCACCCCAAATCACTATTAACACATGCCTATAATAATGAGGTTGAATCAAAAGGAACACCAAGATTGCACTGCAGTGTCTCTAGCAGACATGACTATGTTGGATTAAGTGTGACTGAAAATTCTTTTCCATACATCTCATTAAGAGGTGATATCTATTTCTTGAGTCTGAGCTGGCCCTTTAATTGGTTTTAATCAATAGAACATGGAGGATGGAATGTTGCGTAACATCTGAGCCTGTGCTATAAGAGATTGTCAGCTCCCTCTTAGACTATTTCCTCTGGGAGCCATGTAAGAAAGTCTGATTTCCTCAATACCATAATGCTATCAGTAAGCTCAAGTCAGCTATTTGGAGAGAGAGAGAGAGAGAGAGAGAGAGAGAGAGAGAGAGAGAAGCATGTAGAGATGCAATAGAGCATCAGACATAAGAGTAAAGAATTCTTGCACTTTTAGTCTAATCTGCTCACCAGTTGAGTGCAGCCAAATGAATGATCTCATCTGACACTGCATGTAGCAGAACCAACCAGCTGACCCTGTTTAAAATATTGGCCCGTAGAATTGTGAGTAAATGAAATGGTGGTTGTTTAAGTCACTAAGTATATAGAGGCAACAGAACTAAGCCACATGGTTCTGGAAGAAATGTTTTTTAATATTCTGCTAACATTTAATCATCGATGCCATACATACCCAAAGATATATGACAAAGTAGAAATAACAATGAATATTAATGTAGTTTTTATGGTTTATTCAGCACATTGTCATTTAATTCTGTGACAGTCCTCTGAGGGAGAACTTATCTGAATTTCAAAGATGGGGAAACTGAGTCTCTACAGCCACATAGAGGTAAATGGTATTCAAATCCAAGTACTTTGTCATTATATTGTTCCTTACCAAATAAATCTGGAATCAGTCAAAGGAGGACTGAAAATAGCTTACCATTAGTAATTTAACAATTGTTGAATATGAAGCGACAGAGGAGCTGGGAAAATGTCTTTTAGTAAAGCCTATCTCTAGTTTGTGCTCTTGTTGTAATCCGACCAGTTGCTTGAATGGGAAGAAATGGCAAGGGTAACATTGAATTCTTGAACTGAAATAAGTAGATGCAGAACTACTGCCGGAATCTAGGCTGTCTGAAAATTTGTGTTCCAGATTATTGGTTCAATATTTGCAGCAGAAGTTTGTGGTGGAATTAGTTATTTAAGAAGAAGCCAGTCATAATCAACAAGATCATCCTCTGAATTTACAAAGTAATTATGAAATACTAACTAAGGCTTCTTAGTTGCATTCTGTGAGAGAGAAAAATATATATTTTGGATGATGCCCAATAATGTGGCTTGTAAAATTCTATTTTTTAAAAGTATTACGTTCAATTTCAGATCAAAATGTATATTCTGTATAAAAAACCTTGGCGTGAACAATTTCTAACTACATTGCTTGTAGTGTGACCTAGATAATGTGATGACAGCCCTTTGGAACAATGTCAAGGCAGTTCCATACATGTGCCTTTTATGAGCAGGCATCTCAATGCAGCAGCTTGAATTACACACAGTTTTTCCTGTATTAATTTATATCCAAACATTTTCTAACCCACTTGCTTTTTTTAATACCATGATATAGAATGTTTTTTCCCCAAACTAGTTAAACTTACTAACATTTCTTCAGAAATTTCGGTGAAACCTTCCAAAACTGTGTGATTGCCCCGTCTGGGACCTGGAATTGCCTGGCTCCCTTTCTCTGCTACCCTGTCCATCTGCTCATGCCTTCTTCTCCCTGTCCCCCACCGCAAGGGCAGGCCCTGCAGCTTCCCTCTCTCATAGCTGCTCTTTCCCGGGTCCATCTCACAATCCTGTCAGGATCTCATGGTACAACGCAGGTCAAGGAACACAGTAAAGAACGCTGTGGGAACCTATTCCTGTTCTACCATATGAAGGTGTCAAAGACAGGGCTCACAATATGTCAAAAGGAACTATCTGAAGCCATATTTTAAAAATTCCAAAAAATTAACGAAAGAGCACAAGGTTTCTATTCTGACAACCACAAAACATTGTTGAAAGAAATTAGTGGTGCTCTAAACAAATAGAAAGGTAGCCTATATTCATGGGCCAGAAGACATAATATGATTAAGATACAAATATTCCCTAAACCAATCTGTAGTTTCAGCACAATCCCTATCAAAATTACTGCTGGCTTTTTTGTAGATATTCAAAAGCATATCTTAAAATTCATGTAGATAGGAAAAGAAAACTAAAGCTAAATCTGGTGAGAGAAAGGAAAGAATAAAGCTTTGAGTGCAGACAAATGAAATAGAGAAAAAAACATGACAGAGAATTGATGAAATAGAAAAGTTGGTGGTTGGAAAATCTCAATAAAATGGACAAAGCTCAGCTGACTGAAAAGAAAAAGAGCACTCACATTACTAAAATCACAAATAAAAGTGGGAGTTTACTACTGACTTTATGTAAATAAAAAGAATTATAATACCACCTATAATTATATAGCAAAAAATAGATAACCTAGATAAAATGGACAAATTCATGAAACATACAAATTACTTCTAGAAGAAACAGAAAATCTGTATAGACCTATAACACACAAGGATATTGAAACAGTAATCAAAACCTCTTAATAAAAAAATCCAGGGCAAGGTGTCTTCGCTGGTGAATTATACCAAACATTTAAAGAATTAACACCAATCTTTCTCAAACTCTTTTAAAAAATAGAAAAGAGAAGGGTGCACTTCTTAGCTCATTCTTTGAGGCCACCTTGATCCTGATGTTGAAACCAGATAAGTATGTCAAAAGAAAATTATAGATTTGTATCTCTTACAAATATAGATTCAGATGTCCTCTACAAAAATACTAGCAAAAGTGATCCAAAGGCAAATTAAAAGAATTATACACCATGACCAAGTGGGATTTATCCCAGGAATGCAAGGTGGTTAAAGATAAAAAAAAATCAATCAATATATCACAAAGTATTAATACAATGGAAAGAAGAAACATGGTCATCTCAACTTATGCAGAAAGGCATTAAAAAAATCCAAAACCCTTTCATGATAAAAACACCCAGGATAGCAGCCACAATTTTGAGAAAGAAGAACAAAGTAGGAGGGATCACAATACCTGATATCAAACTGTATTACAAGGCCACTGTAATCAAAACAGCCTGGTACTGGCATAAAAACAGGCACATAGACCAATGGAACAGAACAGAGAGCCCAGAAATCAACCCAACTCTCTACAGTCAATTAGTATTTGACAAAGGGGGCAGTAACATTAAAGGGAGTAAAGATAGCCTCTTCAACAAATGATGTTGGGAGAACTGGACAGCTATGTGCAAAAAAATGAAACTTGAGCACCGACTTACACCATACACCAAAATTAATTCAAGGTGGATAAAAGACTTAAATATAAGCCATGACACTATTAAAGTCCTAGAGGAGAACATTGGCAGGAAAATCTCAGATATTTCACACAGCAACATTTTTACTGATATGTCCCCTAGAGCAAGGAATATAAAGGAAAGAATAAACAAATGGGATCTCATCAAAATAAAAAGCTTCTGCGTGGCTAAAGAAAACAGTATTAAAATAAAAAGAGAACCAACTGTATGGGAAAACATATTTGCCAATGATACCTCAGACAAAGGTTTAATCTCCAAAATATATAAAGAACTCATACAACTCCACTCTAAGAAGACGACTAACCAAATTAAAAAATGGGCAAAGGACTTGAACAGACACTTCTCCAAGGAGGACATACAGAAGATCCAGGGACACATGAAAAGATGCTCAATATAGCTAGCCATCAGAGAGATGCAAATTAAAACCACTTGAGATACCACTTTACACCGGTCATAATGGCCATCATAAAGAAAGCAACAAACAAATGTTGGAGAAGTTGTGGGGAAAAGGGGACCCTAGTTCACTGTTGGTGGGATCGCAGACTGGCACAACCACTATGGAAAACAGTATGGAATTTTCTCAGAAAACTAAAAATGGACCTGCCTTTTGACCCAGCAATTCCACTGCTAGGATTATATCCTAAGAACCCTAAAACACCAATCTAAAAGAACCTATGCACCCCAATGTTCATAGCAGCACAATTTACAACAGCCAAGAGCTGGAAGCAACCTAGGTGCCCATCAGTAAATGAATGGATCAAAAAATTATGATACATATACACAATGGAATTCTATGCTGCAGAGAGAAAGAAGGAGCTCCTACCCTTTGCAGCAGCATATATG